TCTCCCCCTTACCCCCACCCTCCTCTACCTTCACTCTGAGGTTTGAGCATCTGATCTATGCTTCTCTGTCTCTGGATCTGTTTTTGTTCATCAATTGATGTTGTTCATTATATTCCACAAATGAGTGAGATCATGTGATATTTTATCTTTCTCTGACTTATTTCTCTTAGCATAACACTCTCAAGGTCCATCCATGCTGTTGCAAATGTTAGGAGATCCTTCATTTTTACAGCAGCATAGTATTCCATTGTGTAGATGTACCACTGTTTTTTAATCCACTCATCTGCTGATGAGCACTTAGGCTGTTTCCAAATCTTTGCTATTGTAAATTGTGCTGCTATAAACATAGGGGTGCATATATCCTTTCTGATTGGTGTTTCTGATCTTGGGATATATTCCTAGAAGTGGGATCACTGGGTCAAATGGGAGTTCCATTTTTAATTTTTTGAGGAAACTCCATACTGTTTTGCACAGTGGCTGCACCAGTCTGCATTCTCACCAGCAATTTATGAGGGTTCCTTTTTCTCCACATCCTCGCCAGCACTTGTCGTTTGTTGATGATAACCATTCTGACAGGTGTGAGATGGTACCTCATTGTTGTTTTGATTTACATCTCTCGGATGATTAGTGACTTTGAGCATTTTTTTCATATGTCTCTTGTCCTTCTGTATGTCCACTTTCAAGAAGTGTCTATTTAGGTTCTTTGCCCATGTTTTGATTGGATTGTTTATCTTCCTTTTGTTAAGTTGTATGAGTTCCCTATAAATTTTGGAGATTAAACCCTTAGCAGATGTCACATTGGCAAATATGTTCTCCCTGCAGTGGACTTTCTTGTTATTTTGTTGATGGTTTGTTTTTCTGTGCAGAAGCTTTTTATTTTTATGTAGTCCCACTTGTTTATTTTCTCCTTCATTTCTATTGTCCTAGGAGATGTTTCAGTAGACATATTGCTATGAGATATGTATGATATTTTGCTCAGGAGATGTTTCAGTAGACATATTGCTATGAGATATGTCTGATATTTTGCTCCCTGTGGCTTCTTCTAATATTTTTATGGTTTCCCGTCTTACGTTTAAGTCTTTTATCCATTTTGAATTTATTTTTGTGTATGGTATAAGTTGGTGGTCTAGTTTAATTTTTTTGCATGTATCTGTCCAATTTTCCCAACACCATTTATTGAAGAGACTGTCTTGACTCCATTGTATGCTCTTGCCTCCTCTGTCAAATATTTATTGAGCATAATGGCTTGGGTCAATTTCTGGGTTCTCTGTTCTGTAAGTACAATATTTTTTACTTATCTCTATATGTTATTATTTCATCTATCTTACCCTTATTGTGGAATCCTTTTGGATTCTAATCTTTTCCTCCTAGATTAATACCATTTGCTCATTTGTTTAATATTTTATAATATCCATATCCAGGTAACTGATAGAAATATTAAATAAAACTGAGCCTTGTTTTTGTTACTAGAAAATTTATTTCAAGTTCACACTTTCCATTGCTATGATTAGTCTTTTTTTTCATTTTTGAAGTTATTTATCATTGTAACAAAACCTGTTGCCTGAAAATCTGTACTTTTGAAGAGAAGTGCCACTGTGCCACTGTCCAGTGTTGATTTGTATATATAAAATCTTATTTTTAAACTTGTCCATTCCCGACTATATTTTTATCCATTACTAGACAATGCTGTATTCTTTTTCTCCCTGCTTTGTCAGGCCTAAAGTTTGATTATGGGAACCCATCTGCTCAATCCTATGTGTATTATGCCTGAAGGAAGACTTTCAACCCATCTGTCCAATTCTACCACACCCCAAAGAAATCCCAACATGAAATAGATAATAACACTAGTTAGTAAGTGAACTTAATAGATGTGGACATTGGTAAGAAACACTGCCAGAGTATGTCTACTCTCTGATGCATTTTGATCTAAGTCCCAACATTGTGGAATTATATTTCTTGGTGGTCCTGCTTCTAAGGCAGCTGGTCCTGGTAAAAGGTATCAATTGACTTTTAGTAGAGTATAATAATAATGCTAGCATTAGAAGGGAGGTTTAAGATCAAAGCTTTGCTTAGAGGGCTGCAGCTGTGTCGCAAATGCCAAATTCAATATCATTCTTTGTTCAGTGGTTATCTCATTAGTTTGATGAAACACTTAAGATGAGCTTAAAGTATTTCACTTGTGTGTCCATTCTTTCATTCATCATCTGTTTGTTCACTGCCTACCATGAGGCTGGTGCCATGGGAGAGGTTGAATGCACAGAAATAGAAGTCGTGAACCTAGCTTTCAAGAGATGTCTCAGTGAAGTAGTGGAGACAAACTGGTAAAAACAGAATTGGAAGTGTCACCACTTCCAAACTGGAGAGTTTTAAAGATAAAGGGATAGATCTGAAAAGGCATATATTTGTGGATGAGCATTATGCCTCCAGGAAATAGTAGGGAATGGGAATGTCTGGATTGTAGGATTTATAGAATAGTGATGGCCCATGAAGCTTCTTGGTCTTATACATTATGTGAAGAAATTTGGCTTCTGATAATTTGCTGTGTGACTGGCCAGTGTATAATAAGTGAATGGTCACATATAAATCTGTCTTTCAGCTCAATTCCTTTTTCTTATAACACATTCAATCTCCCTACACTTAAAATGTGAACATCAAATCTCCTATGTTCATTGGTGCATCATTTACAATAGTCAAGACATAGAAACAACACAAGTGTCCTCCACTGGATGATTGGATAAAGAAGATGTGATACATATATATTGAAATACTACTCAGCCACACAACAAAATATATTGCTATTTTCAACAACATGGATGAATCTTGAGTGTGTTATGCTAAGTGAAATAAGTCAGATGGGAAAGGACAAAAACCATATGATTTTGGGATATAAAACAAAAAGCAATAACTGAATAAACAAAATAAACAAATAAAAACCCAGACTCATAGATATAAACAACATAATGGTGTTTAGCAGAGGGAAAAGGGGATTGGGGAGGATGAAAAGGACAAAGGGGGTCAAATCCAAGGTGACACAGGAGATTTGATTTCAGGTGGCAAGCACATGATAGAGTATACAATTGAATTATAAAATTGTATTATAAAAGTGTACACCTGAAATTTATATAATGTTATTAACCAAACTTACCCCAACAAATTTTAAAAATATGCCTTAGAAATAGAACAAGTTGGGAAAATTTTCACAGTGATAACAAAGGATCAAAAATATTAACAAACTGTATACCTGTTAAAGTGTGTGTGTGTGTGTGTGTGTGTGTGTGTGTGTGCATGTATTTGTGCACATGTAGGAAAAATTCAAGACAAGACTACAAAATGTTTACTGTGATTATCTTTATATTTGGGAATATGAGTGAATACTTGATTTCTTTTATATAATTTTCTATTGCTCTTCTGTATTTTCCAGTATTGTACAATAGACTGAAAAACATAAAAATTATTTTAAAACACTATAAATAATAATAATGATTAGAGTAACTATTATTTAGCCGTGGTTAAAGTAATAGAAACTGCATAACCTGAAAAACAGAAGATGCAAGAAAATGTGAAAAAAGGACTATCGAAGGGAAGGGAATTTGATACTCATCTTATAGGGATCAAGTAAGAACTTGAACCAACAGAAATTAGAGGAAGACAGAATTTGGCTTAATAGTAGGAAAATAATTCTAATGGGATTTTAAAAAGTGGGAGCAGGTTTTCTCAAAAGGTTTTGATTTTTATTTCTTTTTTCTTTCTTTCTTTCTTTCTTTCTTTCTTTCTTTCTTTCTTTCTTTCTTTCTTTCTTTCTTTATTTATGTCACCAGAAGAGGCTTGACCACAATTTTTCAAGAATACTCTTAGAGTAATTAAGGTTTGGTAGTTAGGTCTAGAATGCTCTCCCGCCAGAAATTTTAAAATCTGGATGTTCCCAAACAACATATCTAAATACTTCCTCACCATCAGAGATTTATTTCTCTGGGGCAAGGTATTATTGTTTCTGGGAATTCTCTTTTAATCTGTTGGAGAGCAAAGTAGAATTCCCCACCAAGTTCAAAAGTAGTTCCTTTGGGGCCAGAGCACATGTCTTTTCACTTCTGTACTCTTATTGCCTACAACAATTCCAAGCATACAGTCTACCTGTAGCAGCTCATGTTTTTTGTTTGTTTTTTTGAAGAAAGCCAATGTATCCGTCCTGGTTCATACACTACCCCCGATCCATTCCATCCTGCCTGCCCCTCATTCTCAGTAGCATGCCTCACTTCCCAGCTAAAGGAGCTTCCCAGCACCCACTGAGTGTCTGGGCTCTCCACTGGCTGCATGGGGAGCCACAAACATAGCAAAGAAAGACAGGAGTTCATTGGTTGTCAGATGGACCAGATATGCCTTCTCCCCAGCTTTCTTCCCAGTTGTTCCGAGATGTGCGGATTCCACAGAGGCTTCTCTTAAGGCATATCACACAGCCAAGCAAATAGTCATGTTTCCTTGAGAAGCTGTGGCCAACTTGTGTTTGATGTCCCCTCTTTTCTCCTTCATTCTTTTCCCTTTACTCCCACTCCAGTGCCAGTTGCCCCAGTAAAGCATCAGCACATAAGCTTTGTTTCAAGTCCGTTTTCCCCAGGATCTGCGCTAGGCTAGCAATTGAAATTTTACTGTGAGTTGAGCGAAGGATAACAAATCCATCCTATGAGATCTTCTGAAAAAGTGAGTTACAGGTAAATTCTCCTACAAAGAACTAAAGGGAGAATGGATCTGTGGCCTGGAGGAGGACTCTGGGACCAGAAACACATCCTGATGTCAGTGGGTGGACATGAGAGAATGACCAATAAAAGTTACCTGTCTGTGTCAAGATCTTGCCAAAGAAAAGCTTTGTTGTTGAACTTGGTCCTCGCCTTAGTCCCCCTCCAAACTCCATTAAGCAACCGGCTGGATGATGCCATCATTTCCCAAGGCCTTTCTCACAGGACTTAATTTCCACTATGCTCCCAATCCTTGTGCCCTTTACTCACCGACTTTCAGTTCCCCTCCTGCAATGACCATGCAGGCCACACTCAGAACGTTGCTTCTGTCCACAGGGAACTCTAAAGTCCCCACCACATAGAGGCCTTTGAGGAATGGAAGGTCTGTATCCACAAGGACAGTCCTGTCTGCAGGAGGAAAAGAAATTGTTCAGACATGTAACCAAAACAAGAATTGCCTTCTCTTCTCCAGTGACTTGCTCTGCAGTTCTGGAAATTTGGGAGCTGCTTAAGTTACTACCTCTTCCAGGACAGGTACAGCACCTGAAGGAACAAACAGTGTTTTAAACATCAGGCCTTCATAAAGAGGCAGGAGGGAAAAAAGAAGGCATGACTAATAAAGTCTGCCATTGGTTAAAAAACCAAGTGTTACGACCACAGGGCATTGCTTAGGTCCCAAAGAGCTAGGCCAAGCCTACTTTAGGGCAAATGTACAGATAAGGTCCCTATACTTTCCCCCTGTCCCTTAACTTTGGCTCTAGTTCAGAGAGATAGAGAAAATCACAGATATGACCTTGGCCTCTGAAGTCAGAATATTAGGATGTGAATCCTAGTTCTGCTACTTATTGGCTATGTGGACCAACAACTTTACCTCTCTTGACCTCAGTTATCTACTCCTTGAAATGGGGATAATAACTACTTGCTTTATTCATAGGGATTTGTGAGGGTTAAATGATCTGAACTGCTTATACAATACTAATTAGCCATTCACATTGCCCAATTCCCACTACCTAAGCAAAGTGTCTGCTACATGCTCAATACATGTGAATATTTTTATTATTTGTACTATTGTCTATTAGCTTGGCATGCCTGTAGAGCTCACGGGACACTTAAAATCATTATTCTTCATTTTCTCTTTCACAAAGAGTTTCCTTCCAACTTCAGAAGAAAGAATCATAGAATTTTTACTAAAACAGAAAATATTTTATGTGTTCCAAAGTATTGTGTTACTTTCTGAGGCTTAGCAGTAATTTGGCACAAATTAAATATATCAAATAAATATTTCTGCTTAAATTTCAAGTACCATAATCAGTGACACATGTAACTTTTAAAGAAATTTTTTAACATAACCTCATGTTTTATTTCAGGAAACAATGCACACTGCTATGCTTAAGGATCTGCCCCCCAGGTTAGCCTCTCATGAGTTGTCTTTTCTAGTCCTGACTACTTTCCTAGCTGTAAGACAACCACGCCTTCCTGTGGCAGTGTCTGTACGATTGTAAACCAACCACTTCCCTTCTCCTGGGTCAGACCACCTTTTCCAGTTTCCTTTGCAGTTTGATGAAGCCATGTGACTGAATTGTAGTCAATAAAATGGAGGCAGAATTGAAGTGTGGTGTCTCTAGGCCTGTTGCATAAGTTATCTTGTATGTGCTCTCTCTTTTCCCTTGTTGGACAGAACAGTAGTTCTCAAGGTATGGTCACGATCCAACAACATCAGCACCACCCACTCATCTGTCAGAATCAACCTAAGGTTTAGCTCTGCTAGCAAGCCATTCCCAATTCCACCATCGGATTCACCACTCCCCCGTGGGAATCTCTCTCTCTTTCACTCTCCAATGATAACCCTGTAAATTTCCATAATAGAGCACTAAAATACATTATTATAACTGTATACATATTATTGTATGTAAGGAGGCAAGTATCACTGGGTTGGTCTCGGTGTAATTATGTCTTTCTCTCCCACTGTCACTTTCTTAAGTGAAGAAACCATCTATTTTTTAAACCCCTAGTTTTTATTGTGACATCAAAGATAAAGATGTTAAGTGAATGTTGCCAAAGTCTGTTGAGTTTAGTTCCCTACACACCTTCAAATTCCAGAGTTTATTAGCAACTAATACAAAATGAATAATCAGGCTAAACAGATGGGGAAAAAAATTATATATATATATTTCAATTTAATCTCTGATACTTTAAAATATGCAAAAAAAGAGTGAAAAATATAGAGAATGTTCCAGGTTTAGCGTACATTTTGGGGTTCATGACTTTACTATGACTTTAAAAGCAAGATAAATTATTTCATCCAAGCACCTCTGAGTTCTATACAAATGGCTTTTATGTCTTTCAACCTATGGCCTATTCTAACAATGTTTGGCTGTTGAGCCTAATTGTACAAAACAATTAAATTGCTTCAAAAAATGTTTTCTCTCATCTACATAGTACTCATAGACACATAAAAGCATGATATTAGCCCTCTTTTGAATATACTTTTCAGTTAAATTATGACAATTACATGGAATTTAAAATTTCCCTTTGGTCTTTATCACATACTCCCTTAGGATATATTTTGATTTAATTGCCTTACCCACTCCAAATATACAGGCAATTTCTCACAAATCACAGATAGCCTAACTATTATAAGTGCTATGAGAACAGAGACCATAGCTTCCAGTCTCACTTTTACTTGCTCAGCACCTTGAACAATATCTATCATAAAGTAAGTGCTCAAAAACAACAGCAAAGAACACATGTTCCAGGGCACAAACCCACTACATGTAAAGCCCAATAACCATCAGAGGAAAATAATAGAATGAAGAGAAGAGTAGAGGCAATGCTCTTGTTTCCTTCAGTGCCAGCTTCCCTTTGCCATTCCCTAAATCTGCCTATTCACCTTTTCATTTTTCCTCCTTTCTTTCCATCCTGTGCCATATCTTCTTGAGTAGTGGGAATTCAAAGATGAGTAACACGTTTCCCATCATCAAATGAAGACAAACAAATAAGTACAATACAATATACTTGAAATAATAATATACTTTTTCATTATGTGGAGTTTGATCCTATCTTCATTCCTATCCTAGCAAGTCTATCAATGTGCTTCTTGTAGCAAGATTCTGCTAGAGTAATAAAAAATAAACATATGCCCTAAATTTTTTTATAAAGGAATTCTCCTTTTATCACTGTAACACGGATTATACCTATCATTGTAAATAGCAAAATAATGAATCCTAATGCACTCTCCAGAGAGATCAGCTGCGAATTCACATTGGCCAACCCTCAGCTATAATGGAGGTTTTAGAGCAGTGGTTCTCAACCTAGACTGCACATTAGAATCACCTGGGAATCTTTTTAAAATCCTGATTTCTGGGCCTCATCCTCCGGAACTTCTGTTTCTTTGTTACTAATGTTGTGGCCCCACCCCATAACAAAGAAACAGAATTTCTGGAGGATGAGGCCCAGAAATCAGGATTTTAAAAAGATTCCCAGGTGATTCTAATGTGCAGCCAAGGTTGAGAACCACTGTTTTAGAGGATTTCTCTTTGTACCGGGTGTAGAATGTTAGAATCAATGTGCCACATTCTCTAGAAGTAGCATTTTTTCCATGAAATTACTCAAGACATTTCAGAAAAATCACTCCGAAAGTTACTTATACAACCCACTTAAAAATATGAATGGTAGAGCACCTCTAAGTTAACTGTGGCCCACTGCTTTTCACCTTGTCTTGACTTGGCCAAGACTACTTTATCCTATTTTGTCAATGACCAATCTATCCTACTTAAGAGAATGAGCACTGGCATATGGAGGGAACCATCTGGAATTTCTGTTGCTCCATGGGAGGCTGATGGGGGAACAGATCTGGAAAGAGACTCCAAAAGGAATTCATGAGTACCAGATGTAATTAAAGACTGCTTCCTCCCCTCACCT